CGGCCGGCTCAAGATGGAAGCGGCCGTTGGCCCCGCACCTTCCCGCCGCTAGCAGTTCCCTGAGGCGAGAGGCGTCGATGGCAGCTCGCTCCCGAGGGCGGCATCTCCCGCCTGGCCCTCAGGGCCCAGCTACGGTCAGAGGACGCCAGAGGACGCCCCCGACGTGCTCACCTTCTCTTCTCCGCGGTCACGACGCGAGTCCCACCACTTTGATCGGCTTTTGGCTTTAGCCGAGGACCCTCCCGTCTCCACCTAACCCGGAGCCGAGGTGCGGGCAGCCGCCCAATAGCGAGCCACGTCTCACCGTAGAATCCCGCCTCCAGCCCTGCCTCTGACCAATGAGAGATAAGCGCGCGGAAGGGGGTGCGAGGGGCGGGGACCCGAGGGGAAGCGGAGGCTAGGAGGGTGGGTCGGCCAGGACAAGTTCGGTTGGCCGGCAGGCTGCGGCTTCGGCCACGGGGTTTCCTCCAATTAGATCCAGGGTAAAAGGACGTCACTGTTGCCATGGCGATGCTGTTACCAACTCCCCTCATCCTCCCCGCAGCCCAGGCACTTCTGGGCCCGGCCGGGGACCGCAAGGCGCGCGGGACCTCCCCTGCCCGGGCTCCTGCGGCAGAGGTGCGTTGCGGCGCGCTACATCCTGCCCCTCGCCGGGCCCGGGCTAGGCTTCGGAGGGCGACAGGATCGGCCGCTGTCTTGCACAAGCGCCTTTTTTTTTTTTTCTTTCTCACCCCCCGCCTCCACCTTTTGTATTCCTGACAAAGATTTGAAGCTCAAGACGCTAAACCCAGCCTTTCGTGCATGACGTTGCTGTTAGGGCTGCGAATTAGAAATAATCCCATCCCATTAAGGAGGAATTAGTTCCCGAAGAAAGTGGCTTAAGTGCGACTTTGACATGATACATTGAAGTTTCCAGGCAGGCTCCCGAAACCAGACTCCCTTGGAGAGAGGAAGGTCCCAGGGAGACCGGGGCGGATCCCTGGTATTGCCTTTTTTTTTTTTTTTTTTTTTTTTTTTTCTTCCTTAAATGAGAAATGACATTTAAGCACTATTTGGAGAAAATGAGCCATGACTACACACCCACCCCCAAAGCAATTTTCATATATCTTTTCTACCTTTTCCAGGTTATGCATCTAAATGTAGATATAGGTATAATTTCACACTCATCTGTAAAGCATATGTACACTTTAAAAAAAATAATTTCTTGGTATTTTTGAGAAGACATGACTTCGAGAACATTCCCCCCAGATTTCAGGGCCATCCTGTGAAGCCACTGTCTCCTCTCCTGGTACTTCCCAGTCCCCCAAACTCCAAGAAAGGATTGCTGTCCTGCCTTTTTTTTTTCCGGATGAAAATTGCCTCCTGCACTGCTCTGATGGCAATTCCATCGTAACCTAGAAAGCCTGGATCATAGAAAGGCAAGCAATATAAAGGGTGAGAAACAAATCTGAATTCTAAGTGGAGACACAACGATCTGGAGATCTGGGAGGGCAGAGGGTTGGGAGGAGAAGGTGCAGACTTTCCAGGAGTGCAGCCTCCTTCCTGGCTGCCCCTCCTGGCCCCACTAGTAAAGCTTGCTTTGTACTGTGTTGGACAGCAAGAGTCCTGGCTGGCTGGAAGGACCCTATGTCTTGGTGCAGAAATGTGTTACTGTGTTCCAGCCTCTTCATGGAGAGCCTGCTGTTATTTCTGGAATCCCTGGGGCCCGGCAGCCAACACCCGATCGTTTATGGCCCTGTGGGCAAGTGTGGAACTGGACGCAGAAATCCCCTCGGAAAGAATTCACAGGTGGAAGGTCAGATACAATGCTTTCGGTATGACCTGTGAATTTCAAGCTTCCAGAAACTAGAGATACTTCCAGGCATGCAGGGAGACACCAGAAGAGGTGAAGGGTGGGGGTGGAGCGAGAGGAGCTCCACAGAAGGAGCACACGCACTGAATTCTTCGTCACAAAGTCTAGGTTCCGCTGGCATCTGGCCAAGGGCCCACGGGCAAGATTGGCTGCTTTCTATTCCCCAGTCCCTGAAATTTCTGCTTTTATCCAACCAAATACTTATGAGATAGTAACTGAGATAAGTTATGGTCATCTGGAACCATGGTTGAAAACTGCTTCGAAACAATGACACACTGTGAAACTGGATTTTAAGGGTTCTGAGGGGGTCCTCTGCATATTGTCTCTGTGCATGAAAAAATTCAGGCTAGAGAAAAATAAGGCTGTGAGTACTTCCAGTACCAGGACATAGAAAAGCTAACATTCACTGAGTAATTATATGTGTCAAGCACTATTCTACGTCTTTTGAAAGGATTAACTCATCCCGTCTGCCTAATGCAAACACAGACTAGGTACTGTAATGGTCACCATCTCATTTCACAGATGAGGAAAGTAGCACATAGGAGAGACAAGTGTCACGTACAAGGTCACAGAGCTAGAGAGCAGCGCAGCCTGGATACCGACCCATGTGGTATTGGTACCAAAGTCCATTCTTTTTTGTGTGCATCTGAGACAGGATCTCACTGTGTAGTTCAGCCTAGCCTTGAATTCACAATGTAGCTCAGGCTGGCCCTGGACTCACAGTAACCCTCCTGCCTCAGCCTCCCGAGTGCTGGGATTACAGGCATGCACCACAACTCCCAGCTCAAAATCCATTCTTGACCCTGTCTCCCCAGACCCACACTGGGTTCCAGAGGGATTCTGGGCCGGATCTGACTACTTTGTGTCCATCCTCTGAGAGTTGTGTCCTGGTGAATCTGAAACATGATAAGCATCACCCAAATGCCGGGAAGAACTCTAGGGAACAGATGGCTCACAAAGAAAGCACTGAGAAGTTATTACCTTATTTATCTGAAGTTCTTGTTATTTTTTCTAAATTTCCTGGTAAGAAGGAGCTGGCCAGAGCAAGAGGGAACACATGAAACTTGGAGCTAGAACACCCTAAATTCCTGCTATTTGTGATTTAACCTTGATCTTCTCTGAACAGAAAAGAAATAATCCCTAACTCAAAGGGCCATTGTGGAGGGGGAAGACTTATCACAGGGAAATGCCAGGGAGATCACAGTGCCCAGTAAATGGTAGGGTTTTTCCCCCTTTTCATTTGGGATAGGGAGATTCCCACACTGCTGCAGAGTGACTTGGCACCTTACAAAATGTTAGTGAAAGCTCATGGCTCGAATCCTTGTTGTAATTAGTGAGGCTAATGGTGTGTGGAATGGCTCCCTCAGTGTGGCTGCAGAACGAATGGGTCTCCCAGTCGGGTTTGCTCTCGGAAGTTGTTTCCGTGGTGCGTTTGCCCAGAGCCCTGGCTCATCAGAGAGACACTTTTCCCTCTCCTGTACATGGCAGCTGTTGACTGACCCACAGACATCTGAGCGGAACTTCTCACCCGGATTTCCCAGGTGACCACTGCCAGTGCTGCTGCATCGCAGTGGGCGCTTCAGGTGCCCCCTCTCCCCTTCCCACCTGGAGGTGCTAAATCAGATCCCAGACAGCCTGGTGCAGGGAGTCTCCCGACACACTCCCAGCAGGGTGCACTGTGATGGTGAATCCCGTGTCACCTTGGCTGCGTCACGGTGCCTGACACTTGGCTGGACATCCTGGATGTTTCTGTGAAGGTGTCTGAAATCGGTGGGCTTCGAGTAAACTGACTGCGAATGGGCCTCGTCCGATCAGCTGACCACAAAGACCAGCCTCCTTTGAGCAAGAGGGAATTCAGACTGCCTTTGGACCCAACCGGGAGCACTGGCTTTCCTGGCCTACCCTGCAGATTTTGGTTTGGTTTTGGTGTTTTGAGAAGGGTCTCTCTGTGTAATCCAGGCTGATCTTGAACTCACTCTGTGACCCAGGCTGGCCTCAAACGCATGGCAATCTTCCTGCCTCAGCCTCCTGAGTACTAGGATTGCAGATAGGAGCCACCACGCCTGGCTCCCACCCTGCAGATTTAGAACTTGAATTTGCCAGCCCCACATAACACAAGCCAATTCCTGGTATATATATTCAATTTACATATTGTATTTCTCCGGTAAACCCTGACTAATTCGTGCAATAAGTTGTTTCCCCACTCAGTAACTTCTTTTCCTACCACTGGATGTCCTTTGTTTAAATGTGTGTCTGTGACATTTGAGATGTGCCTGTTGAGGGTACACACAGGCTCTTCTTTCTTGCTTGTCTCCCAGCGCCCCTGAACAGCGCAGTGGACCGGGGTAGTCTAACCCTGCAGCACGGCTGGTTCGGCCAGTGCTTGGGAGGGTTCAGTCTTCTACCCCAGCTGCTGCACTCTGGAGTTAACATTCAGAAACAGGTCGGTGTGATTTCAGTCTCCTCCTACAGCAAGCAGGGCTTTCTGTGCGCCGGCCTGGGAACAGTGTTTGGTTCTTTGATATACAGCCACCACTGGACAGCCTGGTGTGTCAGCGGTGGATTTGATTTGCCCACGGAAGCTCTGTTTTCCCATTCCACAAATCTGTAGCAAGAGAAGTGCCTCTGTCCCTTGCACGTTTCTGTCCCCTCCTTCCTGACCTCCGCGGTGGACTGCGACTTTCAATCTCCATGTCCCTGTCGACTTTGACTTCCGCTGGCCCACAGAAGGCATCTGGCAAAGGGCTGCTTTGAGCGGAACCCTGGCGGGGCGTGTGCAGTTACGGTGGAGGTAGCACCATGCCCTTACCTCGTTCCCAGCCACAAACAGAGCCACCCAGACCCTGTTGCAGCTGTCCCTTAGACACAGGAGCACACCGAGGACCTGGAAGCTAGCACAGAAGGTACTGGCAGCATCTGAGAGAGTCATGCGTGTCATGCAGTGAGGCTCCCACATGGTAGACATAAGGGGCGCCCCGAACCCTCACTCTGCAGCCCAGTGAGGCTCAGCGGCCGGGCCGCCAGCCCACAGTGTGTAGATGGGGCTCCCCAGAGGGAGTGAGCAGATGAACCCCAGGATTCGCTCTGAAATCCTCCCCACCTGCTCAACAGATGATTCCACAGAGAGGAAGAGCGGGACCCTGGAGCCCCCCCAGGCCTGCTCCCTGGCCGACCCGGCTCCACACGCTTCTGTGCTCTGCACAAGGAAAGTGGTTGACAGGGTGGAAACATCGAACCTACAGAGAGCAAATGGAGCCAGGTATGGGGTGCGCAGCA